TAAATTTAATAAACTGTTCAACTATAATTAAAATTTTCAAATATATACAACTCATAGATAATATAGATGACCAACGAAAAGCATTTAATTTTTAATAATATAAATAATAATTGTCAGTACCTATATAGAATGACTACTTTTGTAAGCATTACATTTGTACTTATATTTTTTTATTTTTTCAATAAACTACTTTAAACAATTTATGTTATAATTACATGCTTGGTTAATTATTTACAAATACCAGTTTGAGATTGCCTCATAGTTTCATAGTGAACATAAATAGATTTCTAATAACTTACTTTACGTCATTTGACAATTTTTAGCATTTTAATGATGGTTTTAAGAGGTGGTATTTAATTTAGTTCAATATGTTTTGACCTTACCTGATAATATGATTTAATCATATGGCATATTTGGGCATGCAGTTTTGAATGAGTGTTAAATATTGCCTCTTAAACAGTTTTGGATAGTGTTGAAATTGTTTTAAAATAATAGAAAATAATTTGAGTAATTATAATATTGTTCTGGTATGATAGAGTGTATACTAACACATGTCTAGATATTATTTATATACTATAACATTCATTTTCACTATGTGTACGCTATAGGTTTTTGTTTAAAAAAATGTTAACAACTCAAACTTAAGGTGTTAAGTTGTATGCATATGTACTGTAATACATAAGGACAAATGTTATTTGATTATTTGGAATTGTAAAAATAAAATTCACTAGCTAAAAAATAAAGGTTTTAGGAAGTGTATACTATTTGTAATTGAACCTGTTCAATTATAGTTTATTACCTGTATGCAGGATGACTATATATTCAAGAGTATTTAAATGTATCACAAAAATATTTCTAAAAGAAGGTTTTGAAATAGTATATATTGATCAATATACTTAAAGTTTTATATTTTTTTTTTGCTAAAAACAATCAACAAAGAAAAAATAATTTTTTAAAATTTTTGATTGCTACAATAACAGCCAGCACGATCAACAATAGGTAAGATGTTTAAATATTAATTTATCAATTAAATTGTAATCAACAGCAGATAGCAGTCATTCATTTGTTAACATACATATTATTTTTTAATAACAAATTTAATTTTTGTAACATGTTGAGTATGATGACAAAACTTTTTGTTCGAACATCAAAGATTGTAATAATTTTTTTAACATCATACTAGTATGCGTACGGATTACAGATTTTTTTAAATGTAATAACTTTTTTCTTTAAATTACCCATTATGTATTATAGGTACTTGGCCGTTATTGTGACACGCAAATTATAAATAACATTTCAAACAGCTATACGTAGAAATTGGATACAATTTAGCCAGAATTATGTAACATGCTTGTTGTGTTTGTCAGCGTTATTAAACAACAATTTATAAGAAATAATTTTTTTTTTGTACAGTTTTTCAGTTTTTTAAAAAGTTAATTTCTCACCTGCACTGACGTGCGTGGATACTAAAATAATACACGGCGAACGTGTTAAATACTGATTTGTAATTATTGGAAAAACATTTAAATACTATTATCATAATTTTGGACTGCTAAAATCACTTTCTCAATTAACTCACAAATATTAAATGACTATTCCCAAAAATAAATCCATACATTAAAACTTCTTAATGTGGACCACAAAGTTATTTATTAAGAAATAATACTAAGTTCTGAATGTGTTAAAACTTTCATGGATTGAAATATCATATCGAAATTCATCCACATAATAAGTTTAAAAAATACCCGAATAAAAACAAAAGTACTATGTAATTATAAATCACATAATTATTGACATTCTACAATATCTTTATCAATTTAGTATGTTTGTTTGATATTATAGAACCAAATAGTGATAACTGATAAGTATAAAATGTCAACCAATAAAAAAAGTACATTATTTCAGTATTATTGGCGGCATATTATGCTGCCCGTGTAATTGATTCCATTTTCTTCATGTGAATCAATGTCCATTCTGATTTTATCTATCCTGTTGTATTATCTATGATAACTTTACTATGTGGGAACCTATGACCGAATGCCCAGTGTATGAAAAATTGCTTATACAAATTGCCCAACAGTGAATATTTTATCTCACAATAGCACCTACATAAGGGTCGATCAGCAGCGCGCTGAACGTTTACACGGTACCCCGTTGACCCACAATATTCAGATGTATGTAGTTAAGTAACTACTACTCATCCAAAATAAAAGTTAAAAATAAAAATTTAAATTTAAGTGTACCTGTTTTAATATACTCTAGCTCTTGATAAAAAAAAACATATCAGCCCATTATAAAACCCATAGTTGCTGTCAAAATAACTAATTTGGGAGTTGGTGAAAAACAAAAAAAATTGTAAAAAATTGAGATCACGTTTTATTATGCAATAATTATTACATTATGCAAAAAAAAAAGAAATCAATTATTAATTAAACCCAGTGAGATATTGACTGGTTCATGATAAAATAATCACCCTGTATATAAGTAATTTACATAAACAGCATTTTTAGTTTTAGGTGTAGCCAATTCTTGTAAACTTTATCCGTTCATTGATCATATATTTTATTTTGTCCAACTCTACTTATACGTACCAATGATCTTATGTTCTTATTTTTTCTAAATCCCATACAATCTACAAATGTAGATTTTGAAGTAATTTGGGTACCTACACAAACATGGCGTTTAACAGTAGACTAAATGTCAGTTGGTGTATAGACTATTTATGTAATATTATAATTTAACCATTTTTTTATTAGAAATCACGTAAGTATGGTAATTGAAATGGCATACTTTTTGTAAAAAAAAATATAAAACGCTATACGCTAAAAATGAAAAGATAGATATTTGTCATAGCTTAACATAAGATAATATACAGGTGGATCGGACAGTTTAGAGGAAATTCAATTTTACGATTGAAACTGCTCGACGTTTTTATATTCTAAGCTACACACAAAGAATATGGAAATTAAAAAAAAGACTAAATTATCCGGGAAATTATGGGCCAATAATTTGGCAGCAGTTTTTTTAAAAAAAATTTTCTAATCGATCGTTATGTTTATGCCGACTTGTAAAATATGTAAAATTGTTGCTATCCGCTCGCCATCAATACAGAAGTTATGAATGTTTAGAATGGAAATGTGTTCAGTGTTTACCTGTATTGTAACACTGTTTGATCAGAGCACGGTCGTCGTATACTGTACGAAATCGATCGCAAAAAGGTTCCTTTTTACAGTTGAATATTTAGCGTTATAGCGGTATTCGACCGTCTAAAAAGTTCAAGTGCAGTTGAATTTTCCAAACTGATAAAACCGATCAGACTTTGGCTAGAGCAGGACAATGCGTGCGGCCGTGTATCAGTCAATAGTCATAATATATTTTGTGTGTGCGTTGGATTGTAGGCAACGCTTATCCGCCAGTATCTATAAACTTTGTATCGCAATTGGCCGAGACAAACAATTCTAAAGATGACTTTTCGGCGTCGTTTTCCACCATCAACCTACCGTAGCTCTTTCTATCCGATTTCTTGATGTCATTTGATTTAGACGCTGACGGTTGTGATGTGTCCAATAATTGCGATATATGATTATATATACTGGCGCATAAGCATTTTGATTACAATCCAACACACACAACATGTGTTATGACTATTGACTGATACACAGCAGCGCGCATTTTTCTGCTGTAGCCAAAATCTAATCGGTTTTATCAGTCTGAAAATTTCAATTGCGCTTGAACTCTATAGACGTTCGAATACCGCTATAACGCTAAATATTCTATTGTAAAAAAGAACCTTTTTAACCTGTAATTTCATACAGTATATGCTCGTGACCTGCTTCTTTAATCAAACAATGATATAGTATAGGTTAGTAGTAATATAACAATTCTGTACTGATGGCGAGCGGATAGCAACAATTTTGCTTATTTGCAGTCGGCATAAACATTACGATCGATTAGAAAACAAACTGAAAAAAAAATGCTGCACAAAAATTGGCCCGTAACTTCCTCAAAAATTTACCACTTGGGTATAGAATATATTAGTATAGAAACATTTTACAATAAAGTTGTATACACTCTGAAACGAAATTTAATCGATTTTTTACAAGTAAACGGCAACTACGACAGGTCAACGCTTAAGTTTTCTCTATTCTATGAGTTCACACCGATTAAACAGAATTTACTGTACAAATCTGTTTCTCTGTTGCTGCAAAGTGGGTTCGACATTACACGGTTGATGATGCTATAATAATATTTTGTGGTTCTATTAAAAAACCGGACATTTTGACGGACGATCCAAAGTTATTCGAGTTCCGTCAACGAATCAACGAAATAATCTATAACATTAAGACCATTGGTAAATTGCGAGACGCAAATGACACGGAGACAACGTCGTTGGTGATTGCCCAAGTTTATGGCTTTCGTGCGTTCTTGGAGATCTTCAACGGAACAACCAAAGTCACAAACAAAGTAACGGCCTTGATAAGTTATACGGATGAACGGATTCAGATTTGGATCTACTTAAATAATTGCAATTTGATCCAGAAGAAACGGTGAACGGTATGAATCAATTACTTGTTGACTTTGCCATGGACTTTTTGCAAGATCTCAAAGTAAACTGTTGGCAAAAATGGATTGATGGCGTCAACGGAGAATTTGTAGGGTCATTAGGAAATATCAGTGAAGCCATAGAACCAGACAAAACTAAAGCGGTGGCACTTATAGCACTGTGTGTCAATGAATCAACTCCTGTTTGGCTAAACCCCATAAATTCGATTTATTCAACGTATTAAATTACATTTTACAGACGAATATCCAATATAATAATAATAGTAATCACACAAATATATAATAACTGATACAAAAAAAAAAAAAAAACGAACACAACAAGAATACAATTGAATACAATATAGAAAGTAATTATAGATTATAACAACAACAAAGGTAATATAAATAACATAAATAGGAAACACTGTGTTGTTGATTTAAAATTTGAATATACATTTTGCAACCGACAATTATAATTATTAAGCTGCATTCATAAAATGCAATAGCACACTATATTCGAACGGCAAAAATTGTTTAAAATCGGTCAAATAGAATTTGAAGTTCCTAACGGCTTCTCTTATGAAGTCGTCGGTAGACAGTTGGTCTTCGTTAACATTAAAACTGAGCCAGCCGATTTCGTTTGTATGTACACCGTTTAAAAGGTTTAGGATGTCATTGGCCTTTGCCTTCACTTTTGCTGAAATGGCTTTTATTTCGTCGATGCTGAGTGTTTTTGCAAACTCTAATTCCGCTAAAGTATCCACAAGAAAATCATCTTTAAACGCCGTCAACGTCAATGCGTCTAGGATATGGTTGACTATAAGATATTTGATTTCACTCCGAGTACGTTCATCAAATGTGAATAGCTGTTTTTCATAAACATAAAGTATGACCGATAGGTAACAATAAATTCTAGCATCGATAATCTCGACCAACAATTGCTGGTGTTCGAAGCGACCGTACGGTTTCAAAATCCAACCGCGATTTTCCACAAATACTTTGGTAGCGGCCACCTCGACTCCGTGCCGTCGTTTCGCCTCACTCCAATCGACATTAACTTCTGTTATTGGTCTGAACAATATTTGTTCTCCGTCGTCCCAAAATCGTTTAAGGTATAAAAATTCTACCGTGACAAAATCACTGTTGTGTAAAACCCATTTGGCAACGAGTAGATCGTACATCATGGTATTAACAATAGTAGGGTTTTTCGAAATTAAATCGGGCAATGGAATCGGAAGAAGGTATTTTTCAATCACACAATTTGCGATGAAATTCGAAACACCGTTTTGCAGTTCGTTATCTATTATTGGGTTTTTACGGAAAATAGTCTTATTGGCATTGTATTGACGGATGGCAATGATTTTCAACAAATATATCCAAAGCCATTTTCCAGTTTGTAAATTTTCAGCACGTAATATTTCAAGAAGAACTTTGGCTTCCAATTCAAGACGTTTCATGGTTTTCTCATCATGAACGAATGGCTCTCCGTTATTTAACTTTTTTATTAAGTTCTCCATGTACAGTAAGTTTGATTTTGCCATAACACAAAAACTACATTGGAAGTCCTTAGCTCTTTTCTCTAATTTAGACCGGCTGATTAATTTTGGTTGATATTTTTTGATATCGCCAAATGACGGTGATGTCAGATTTTTCACGTCTGAACTTTCTATACAAATTGGATTTTTGTTGAATGATCTCAATATATTCACGGCACGTACATAGTACTCATTGGACGTTTGAAAGTAATATCGTAAAGGAAAAATCTAAAAAAAAAATATATATATTTAAAAAAAAACCCAAATTTGAGTTTTCGTTCAATAACTAATAATAATAATTGTTATTAAACTGTTTGAAAACAAAATTGTAACTTGGTCAGCCTCGAAACAATCTATGATTTATTCAACGATTATTTTGCTTAGAATAAAATAAACCCAATTCCAATATGATTCTAGCTAGGTATTAAATATCTCAATTTAGATATTGAATTTACTGGGCTTAATTAATTATTTTATTTTATTTTGTATAGAGTTTTTATAGAAATGATCTTAGTTTTCCACTAATTTGTATGTTTCTAGTTTCTACCCTCTCCTAAACTAATTATTATTTTATTAACTTTTGAAACCTAAATGGTAACGCGTACATTTCATTAACATTTTAAATTGAGAACAACGTACTTGGTCGATAACCAGTTTTAGGTACATTTTTTTAAATTTATTGAAGTTTCAAGTTTAGGGTAGGAGGAAAGGTTAAGTGTAGTATTATTTTTTTCTGCCCGCACTTTCCCATCCCGTCTTAGGTAGGACATAGGTAGGAGGTTGGAACATAACAATTTGTGGAAAATTGTGATCACATTATATAAAAACAATATTAAAAAAAAAATTCGTCCACGATAAGAAAATCATCCTGTATTTCTGAAAATGTAATACTATGGCTACAAGCTAATAGAATCATCTCATTTGAACGAATAAGATATTTACGATTCTAAGTTGTAATGGAATTTATCAAAATAACATAGCATATTTGTACATCTATTTAGAAGCAGTTTTTAGTTACTATAAAATATTTTTACTAAAGGAACAAATTGTGTAAAATGTACTCCTTGTTGAACAACTGCTAAACAACCGCAAAATATTAGATGGAAATTATTTCACAGAAAAATCATAGTAAAAAATGCTTACCTGACTTTTAGCTGCCGATACGATTGTATTTAAATTTGACGTTACAGCGAAACAACATAACAGAAAAGGCCAAATATTGAAAATCATTGTTATTTTTTATATGTTTACGTGTACTACAAAAAAACAAGAATGTTCGGTATAATATGGTGTAACTACTACTAATTTATAATTCTCGCAAGACGTTGGACGGTAGCTAAAGTATATTCTGTTAAATTATTGTAAAAAAACATAAGTAAATCATTTTTATTTCTCAATATTTGTATGAACAAATAATAGTTTTCGGTTCGTCAACGTGAATTGTTCATACTCGAAAAATATTTTGTTTAAATAATATTTTGTACAAATATCTTCGCTTCGACATGTTGTAAAAAAATTATAAAAAGCCATATTTTAAAGTTGGAAAATATGTTCATACATTGTTTGTTTTTCTAGATTTCGGAGGCAAACGAGTGAATTTTTTTAAAAAGTTTAACACAGTTTAATACGTCTCATATATGTCTACAAAATAAACGCGTTATTGTAAAAACAATACTAAATCGGCAGTGTTGGACAAAACCGTTATCTAGATAAGAAGTTTTAGAAAAACGAATAAAATATGATTTCAAATTAAGTTATCTATATCGTATGGATAATTTTTTTATTCGAACTTATAAAATATTTTAACTTTGATGCAAAGAACAGATTCTATTGGTTTTACCATGATGTGGGCTTTTTCTTTGACTGTATACATTGTAGCTTTTTTAATACTGGACTAACTCTTTCGAGTAGCAAGTCTATAAATCACAAATTTTTTCTGGATGGTAATTTTGGGGGGTAAAAATTGTAAACGTTTACTTAAAATTCACTTATGAATACTTATTCGGTATGCTCGCACATGCCAGTTGTATCAAATTTAAATTATACCCTTTCCCACCCCCCTAGAAGGTGTACAAATTTTTTATTTTTTCGGTTTTTTTAGCCGTAGTTTTAAGACCTTTAAGTTGAAAATTTGTCAATAGTTAGAACTCATATGTACTCATATTACATTAAACAAAAAAAAACTTTGGGACTACAGTTTTACTTCAATTGCCGGAAAACTGTGTTTTTCACAGATTTCGTATATTTTAACATAATATACACCTTAAATCTTAAAAGTAATTTGTCAAATCATTACGAAATTGTTATGTACACCTATTCAGAATAATACTTTTAAGTTTTGATACTCAAGTACCATTTTTAGATCTTAACTTTTTTTTAGCTTCGATGAGGAGCTGAGAAGTTATTGTTTTTACAATGATGTATTTTTTTTTTGTGTCTGGATCCACGATATCTCGTAAACCCCTAAACCGGTTTCTTTGTGTAGCAACTCTATAGATCAGAAATCATACCTGGAAGGTACTTTATTGGGCTAAAAACTAAAAAAAGTCACCCCTCCCCAATCAACATCGAGAAAAACACCCGAAAAATTCACAAATTTTTCAACTTAAAATTACGATGCTCTATAACTTTTTTAAAAATAGTCGAAAATGTTCCAAATTTATATGAATTGTTCTTCAAACATAGTACTATCGTTGAACATTAACAAACCAAAAAAAATATCATAATCCCTTTCCCTTAGAAGGGATAGAATTTTTTTCTTTATTTCACTTTTTCAAGCAAAGTTTTAGAAATTTAGATTTGAAAATTAGGTAGAATCCGAAGGTAGATCTAAAATGGAACTATAACATATACAATTTACTCAAAAATCTGTAGGAAAATTTTTTTTTTATTAAGGAAAACCCCAAAAATAGGGTAAATTTACACTTTGGCCGTAGTCAGTTTCTAGGTTGCTATGTGCTATTGAATAAACAGTCATCGGGTAATGAAAATATTTTTATTATATTGTCAATTACGATATACGGGTAACTATGACAGTACATTTTTATAGACAGACGATCGACCCTTATCGTATCCACCCTGCTTAGGACTAAATATTAAATTTTAAGTACACTATTGTTGGTCCCACGATATCTTCTAAGCCGCTATAACTGGTTTGGACATACTATCCACAGATTCGCATCGAAGCGTTTATTTAAAAGTGATTTCACCGTCCTCACTATTTTTACACTCTTATCACTTTTAATTTTAACAATTCCTCTAGACCTGTTTACTGTGACCTCTCCGTCCCCTCTATGCTTTGATTCCATTATTCCTATACTCTACTTGCACGTCGTCTCGGATAAAATCATTTTCAATTAACGCTTTGATTCTTATTTGTTAATATAGCACCTCAACTTAATACTTTATAACTTTGCTGGTTTACACTGTGCTAATACTAACTACTGATTTGCATCGAAGCCTTTATTCAAAAGTAATTTTAACTTTAATACAAAACTGATGTTTTTTTTTTTTGTCTATATACAACTTTAAAACCGCTGGATTGGTGTACTTGATCAGCAAGTCAATCAATCAGTAACAATTGTATCTAGTTTGGGCTTTGGGTAGAGGGTGTAAAAGTTGAATAAGTTTACTTCATCAATCTTAAACTTAGAAACAACCCCTTCTCAACAAAAATTGATTGCAAATCTTTTCAATTTTTTTGCTACGAATTCGTGAAAAATTGTCTGACCGAATGTATTTTTATCAAAAACTTGTTAAGCATGCCTCTATTCGAAATTATTTTCAGACCAAAAAAATATCCCACTTCTTCCCCATAAGTTTATTTATACTGTGCTGGTTTTGGTCGTGTTTGATTTCGAGTGTGGTGGTTTGGACTATGCTGGTTTATGATGTACTGAATTGTTTCATATTAGCTAATTGGTTAATTAAGAAGGTACACATACGTTTTAAAGTAATATACTTAGTTGTCTTTTGTTTGTTATTTATTTATTTTTTTTTTTGATACATATGCTTGTTTTTGTAATACCATCACAGCAGATATTCTTTTAATATTTGGCTATAGTTTTGTAATTTGTTTTTTTTTTATACTTAGGTGATATCTGTGCATATATTGGGGTTGATCGTCTGTCTGTAATAATTTATAAGCCACTGCTGTTGAAATAGTTGACTAAGATTTTTAAAGAACTGGCTATTGTAACTGGGTCGCAGCAGATGTTCTTTTAATATTTACTTTGATGCTGTACTATAGATCCGAATTCATACGCAGATGGTACTTTGTTTATTTTTTTTATTGTTTCAATAAAAAAAATGTATGTGTAAACCGTGTATCAACTACATTTATCTTATAAAATGTTACGCATAAAATAATAATTGATATCTGGACACATAGTAAGATGTACGATTTAATAGTACAAGTATGTTATAAAATTATTTATCTACACTAAGACGAGGTACACAAAGCACATATTATGTCATAGTGAATCATCTTTTCATGCAGTACACATAGACATTTGGATTCTCTCAATTTGAGTTAAATCTTCTGTTTACACAAAAGTTAATGATATAATTTATTATATTATACATAGTGTTTTTCCACAAATATTGTTGTATAGTTTTATTATTATTGTTTAACTTAGCCTGTAGATATCATATTATACTTTTTTGTTTTAACATTTAATTTTTTTTTTCTGAAGATACCTCCGTTGCATTATTTATGATTAATGTTAATATGGTGCGTACACGCTAAATTCACAAACAATACCTTTTACAATTTTATGATTTGTTGTTTATCGAAAACAAGTGTTTTTGTTTCGATGCGTAGCCGATTATAGGCCGTCACATAATTATTATATGACAATTTCAGTGGTTTTTTTTCACACTGGCTTTGATAAATTGTTCGCTTTTACTTGATTTTCTTCTTTGATCATGGTGCCTTTCACTACAGGGTGATTCATAAGACACTCATTTTTTCGGAATATATTGACATTTTGAACAATATTTTTTCCAAGATTTTTTGGTACACATTGTACTATATTTTTCAATATTTTGAACATTTTTATCACCAATCTTTATAAGACACAATTGGCGATTTTCGGTTTTTTTAAATGGCAACGTATATTTTTAATTTCATCAATTTTTAGACAAAAAATAAAAAAATATCTTAGCGTTTGAATTTTTATTTATTTGTTCATTTCTTATGACTTCATAAAGATTTGATTTTTTTACTGTACTTCTTAATATTCCCAATCATTACTAATCATTACTACATAATTAGACATAATAAATAACCACGCATATACGGGGTAATATTAGTATGTGTTTGAAAGACGAAAGGTAGACTGACTTTACACTTTAGCCTGGGTTCAGTATCCACAATTTATGATTATAGTTATCACAGATGACAATATTGTATCTACACAAACTAAGCATTATAGGTAAGTATAATTCATTAATCTTATAAACATTTGTATTTATTTTTAAAAATAATAACGTAATATACAGATATATTATTATACGCATGCGACTTATAAAATCTTAAAAACTTGTGGCTTGAAAAAAACCGTAAAATTTAAAACTCCAAAAATGTGTTTTATTACAAAATCATTGCCAAATTTAGATACTAACTTGTGCACTTATAAGCAATTCATTTTTTTTAAATTCTGCTATTTTTAAATAACCTTAGTAAATCGTATCCATTAAAATAGTTCAATAGTGTGGTTAATACATCAATTTTTAACGTTAAACAAGGAAATATTAAACAATGTTTTTCTTCTATAAGATTAGTCTTATTATTTTAGAATCTATTTTGCTATTGATTTTCCACATATTAAATAAAAGATAATTAGTGAAAATAATATTAAAAATAAATCTAAGAAAATACTGATTATAAAATAATCTCAGCTGTTCTGAATTAACTTTCTGTTTTAAAATTTTTGAATTTAACATATTTTATTGGCTTTATAGTTACTTTTATTATAACACAGTATGTCTAATAAGTTATAAAAATAGTAAGTAAGTACTAATAAAAGGTTAAGAAATGTATAGATTATTTATTTAATAGCTATTAAAAAAATATAACATTCATTTTCTTTTAGTAAGAAATTAGCTATGAATTTATTTTTAGTTTCTTACCATTCCTTACTCTTAATTCAAAATAAATAGTACCATCCATTTAATACATAACCAACAAACATTTAGACATTTATCTCTGGCTTACATAATTTCATCCTCAATTTGTAATGTAAAAAACGTCGGACCCTCGATTTTATAATTGTTTATTTATTTCTGCATGTATTTTTTATTAACTACCTCATTGTTCAATGGTTAATCAGATATTCCTAAAATCTAACAAGGCCCGACAGAGACAAAAAAATAACAAACACAATTAATAGATTGGGAAAACTCTAAAATTTATTTTCAATCATAATACCAAACCATATGTTTTATTTTCAGGGAATACAAGTGATATAACAGTAAAGTATGTAATAAAATAGATAATTGATATTTATACATTTTGGTTAGCACAAAAAGAAATAAAATATAATTATTTTTTGAATTTGGTTAAACGACTGAAGCTCGAGCCGGTGCCTCCAAATATACACAACGAAATTCCTACAGCATAAAAGAGTCATAAATGTTAAATATATGTATATATTTATTTATATTATACTAACATTGCGTACTGAACTGCGAACGCCAGTTATACGAATGTACTGTATCGGCCTGGCTTCAAATTTCAACAACTGCCAAGATCGTGTCAGCTCCTTAGATTTGTCCACAATCGTTTCCCATTGTTCATTATCGACAGATACTTGAATAGTATAACTATAAGCTTGTGCATCGCCACCCCAAAGTAGCATCCTGTCAATTTTGGTAATAATAATATTGTCTTAGTTTAATAATCAATACAATTTATGAATAACAGGATAATTCGGCCAAGTTAAACCTTTATTTTTCATGTGAATAAACGAATGATGAAAAGCATTATAATTATTTGTTAATCAATATTAATGCAATAATATAGTTAAAAAAAAAAAGAATAAAATTCATAATTATGCAAGTTCCTAAGATTTTTCAAATTAAAATTATGATCAAAATCATTTTAATTTTGTTTTTATCATTTTTGTTAATGTTGTCCATTTACATCACCATTGATAATTTATTTAATGAAATACAGTCAATTTTTAAATTAAAGCATAAACAAGAATGCATATTATGTTGACTAGTCTATTTTTAAACCAATGAAATAATGCCAATTGGGGAAATTTGTGTTCATACATTCTAAGAAACTCATTCCAGCGACTGGAAATAATAAAAAAAATGTCAAAAGAATTCTTATGAGAACCTGGTCAGATTAGTGAATAGATTGCTATTAAACTTGCAAAATATTTATGCTATTACCTCATTGATCCAAGTATATATGGCTGTGCAAGATGAACCACTATACAACCACCCGATTCCAGCCGATGCCACGTGTATTCGTTATGTCTAGACAAGCTTTCATAGTAGTAATCTAATAGCGAATAATCTCTTACACTATTTTCACCTTTGATTACAGATGCATTCATATATCTTTTAGCGACATTTAACACGTGTTTCGGAGCTTGATTAAAATCAATAAATTAGAAAAATGTATACAAGGTCATTTATCGTGAACCACCCAATATATCATAGGTTTGAATAAGAAATTTAATATATTTTATTACATGATGTTTTTATACGATATGATCTCATTTTTTTTTTTACATTTTTTGTTGTTTTCCCCGCTCCCAACTTAGTTTTTTTGATAGCAACTTTTTAAATTGGGAATAATGAACTAAAAATGTTGACTGGTTGAGAACCAGTTTTAAACAACTATTATTAAAGTCATAAAAGTTGAAAAGTTAGGATAGGAGGCGAAGTGCGGGCACTTAAAAACGATACAACAGTCCACCTTTCCTGAGGCCCTAAATTTGAAACTTAACGCATACATTTCATTAAAATGTTAATGAAATGTATGCTTTAAGTTTCAAAATTTGATGTAAAAAAACTCTGTTGGGTGTGATGCCAGTGTATATAATATTTTGAAACAAAAAATGATATCTCTTATTCAACTCTATCAGATATTGAGTGGTCACGATAAAATAATTATTTTGTAGTATATACCTACATAATATATTATCATTTTTTATTATTCTAAAAATAAGATACTTAATTTTATATGTTACCGACTAATCCATTTATGATATCCACCTTGTGATTTAGGCTTGTATTGTAATTGACATCCCTAATGTTAAAAAGCTCATTAGCAGTACTTTTGGTTCCAACAAAACGTATATACCGAACTATGAGGGGGTGAAACCACAATTGTTGAGTTGATCGACAATTATAATTTGAATGATCTATTAAAGTATTCCAATGTTGTTGATCCATTGAAACTTCAATGTAATAAGAGTAAAACCTATAGTATTAAACAAATAGAAATACTTGTAGAGTAGTGATTTGTAAAAAAGTATAGAAAATTACATTTTAAGAAAACATTTTTTAGAAATGTGGTCAAATATTGAATACAATTTATCAACAACTATTTCTTAATAAACAATAATTTTTCAAATATTAATAAATTTGTTTGCTCTACTTTTAATTAAAATACATTTTAGTCGAATAAAATTGTTATACATAAGTTAAAACAATTATAAATCAAATTTTTACAAATTTTTCAAAAACATTTTTTATTAAATTTAATGACAATTTTAATTTAAAATATTTTTATTTTAGAAACATACTTTGGATTCGTGCCATCTCCATCCGACAACATTAATTCAATATAATTTATAAAAGATGGATTTTGCAACATTATCATTCTAGTACCCCCGGCAAGGCTATCGATGGGTGGAAAACACTGACACCAACCAATTAGATTCAGATTTTGTCCTAAAAAACAAAACAATTAAAACCAACATTATTTGCGAATTACAGATTGATGTTTACAGCAAGCATACTTAGCTGTCCTCGAAATTGAGGCTTATCTGATGACGTCTTGTTTCTACATTGCACGGCATCTGCAATTTTACTACCCAGTGTTTTCCTAGCCTCAAAAAGTTCTTCATCACTCATTAACGGATATCTGACGGCGGATAAAACTTTGTTTTGAGTATCAGGATTCAGGTCGTATTGGTTCTCATTGATCCAGCGAAAAACCGCGCGGAATATATCAATTTCGTTTGCATAAAACGAGTCACGAATGAGAATTTCATAGAGATCTTCCTGAAAATAAAAATTGTGTCTAAACTTTTCACCTGAATTAAACAATACATTTTTTTTATTAAAACAAAGTCATTACGGATGACAATGAGAGAAAATCTTCAGACTGCAATACTCTCAAAGCGTTGTTTTCTATAAAGTTAAGAGATTCGACTTCTTGCTGCGTGCATTGGTAAAGTCGAGTCATATTAAAGTACGAACAAACATTGTCTACTTCAATGTCTTTTTTCAAATACTCGTTTAGTGACGTATTTAAGGTTAAAACATGAAATAAATCTGAAATCCTTATTAGTTCCAAAACCTCTTCAACCTAAATAATAAAAAATAAATAATGTGATTAATAATTTAGTTTATTAGATCAAACACCTACATCGGCCAAACAATCACACAACCGTAAAAAATTATATTGTGTCGTTTAATAACCACTAAGCTACGTCAATTATTTGTTACCTTTAGACCAGTGAAATTTATATGACCAGTATAAATATATTCAAGCAGTATTTTAAATATGGAGACTAGGACTTCATTAATTTCCATCATATCCTGATAAGTTTCTTTATGGCCTCCATAAAATGCTCTCCTAAGAATAATACACAATATTACTACAAACATTAAATTATAAAGTAAAACGATACCCTTTATACGGGTAAGCTAAACAAATGTAAAACAATTATTTTTAATTTATATAAACGTCCCTCGGCATATACCATTTAGTTTCACAAGATGGGTGCTACGTTAAAAATAAGTGAGAGTAATTAAAAATATTGTGGTCTCGTTTTTGGTTACATCGAACCAGAAAAACTGGTCATAATAATTATACGGTTTGAACCCGGTATGACGTGGAATGTCACACTTACAAGTAAATAAAGATTTAATTTATGTCCAACATTCAGGCCTGATATTCAAAAACTTAAGCTATACAAAAAATAATAAATAAATAATAAAACACATAGTTTTCACCCGCCCAACAAGAATGGCTTAAGGAAATATAATTAATTATATAAATAAAATACCTAAAATATTCGCTGCGCGAGGCTAATACAATACGATGGACGGGCAATTTTTCTCCCTCTACAACCAAAATAACATCTGAAAACCTTAAAAAAATATTAAATTTTTTTAATAATACACATACAAATTTATTAAGTAGCAATAAAATATGTTTAATTTCACATAATGACATTTTACTAAGAAAATAGTTTTATAATTATTATATTTCGATCTTATCTCAGTGACATATAGTCACTAGTTTAAAATGGGAAATATTATAAATAATGTATAATTTAATCTAGCAAAAAATATAAAGACCAGAAAAAGGGTAGTAGATGATCATACATTTTGAAAAGTCAGATAAATATATATGTTTTTAAGAACCAACATCATATTTCGTCACTTTTAGTTCTACCTAGTTTAAATCAAATACGAATTATTGTACTAAAATTGACAAAATGGGACAAACAAACGGCTAAATAGATAAACTTGCAAATTTTGAAAATATTAAAGTTAATAAGTTTAAATTCAATAACGGTTACCTGTTGCTTAGGTATAGGTTGCTTATGTCGCTGACCAAGAATTGAGTATGGTCGATTACATTCTTTTTTTGTAATTTAATGTTATTTACCAAATACTCGCGTAGTGAATATGTTAAGTTTGAAAAACTAAATAAATCCGAAATTCTAAGTAATTCGGTAACATCTATACCCTAGGAAATAAATAATAAAAACACATGATTTAATTTAATAGATCAAACAAATTTTATCAGTCTAACGATCACACAACCCTAATGAAAATTATATTGTGCAGTTTAATAACCGCTAAGCTACGTCGATTTTTCGTTACCTTTAGATCACTTAATTTCATTCGACCAGTATAAAAGTATTCAAGAAATATTTTAAATATGGTTAATGGGGCTTCATTAATTTCCAATACGACTCGACCAGGTTTTTTAGGGATTCCATTAAATGACTTCCTAAAAATTATACACAATATTAGTACAAACATTAAATGATGGAGTAAAACTTAGGGGGTAAGCTAAACAATTGTACTCATATCATTTTTAAAAAGATGAAACCTTTTTTTTTTTCGAGTGTCCAAATAAATAAAACAATTATTTTCAATTTTATAAACGACTATCGGCATATACCATTTAGTTGCGTCACGACAGTAAGTGGAAGTAATTAAAAAAATAAGGGGTCTCATTTTAAGCCACATCGAACCAGAATGTGCAATGGTCATTCTACTGGGTGGCCCGATGATCCGGTTTGACGTGGAATGCCCCGTATACAGGTAGATAAAGATTTAATTTATATCCAACTTTCAGGCCTTATGTTCAAAACTAGAGGTACAAAAAAAATAGTTTTCACCCGCCCAAGAAAGAAAAGCCTTAGGAATTATACTTAAAGATAAGAATAAAATACCTAAAATATTCGCTGCGTGAAGCTAATATAATACGATGGGCGGACAATTGTTTTCCTTTTACAACCAAATCGACATCTGAAAGCCTGAAATAATGATTAAAATTGTTTAATAATGAACATACAAATATAATAAGTATCAATCAATTATGTGTAATTTCTAATATGATTTTTTGATCTTATCTCAGTGACTTAAATTCACTAGTTTAAAATGGAAAATAATGTAATTAATCGTAATTAATAATTTAGGGTAGAAAAAAGATATAGACAATAAAAGGGGGAGAAAATGAACTTATTTTTTTGACCGGTTAGTCAAATATTGCTAAACAATACTTTAGTTTACCTAATAATTTTTCGCCACTTTGTGTACTACCTAATTTAAAGCAAAGAAGAATTATTACACCAATTGGTGAATAAGGACACATTAACGTTTTACTTTTCCTATCTTATTACATTATTACATTTTAATGTCAACGTATTAGAAAAACATTTTTGACTGTGGTATTAAAATACTGTAAACAAGATAAACTTGTGAAATTATTAAAATAATAATAATAGGTGTAAATTTAATACCACGTACCCGTCGCTTAAATCAACATCTGAAAAACTTAAAAAAGTAATACAATTTGTTAATAATAAACATACAAATATAATAAGTATCGATAAATTATGTGTAGTTTCTAATTAATTTTTCGATCTTATCTCAGTGACTTAAATTCACTAGTTTAAATAGAAAATAATATAAGTAATAAATAATTTGGAGTAGAAAGAAGTTAAAGGCAGCAAATGGGTAGATGATGAACCAATTTATTTTAACCTGTCAGAAAAATATATATTTTTAAAAAATATCTATATCATATTTTGCCACTTTGAGTACTACCTAAATTAAATCAAATCATAATTATTATACCAAAATTGGCAAAACGGAAACACCTATCTTATTACACGTGTAACACGTTATAATGTTAACATAGTAGAAGGCATTTAAGCTTTGGTATTCAAAAACTGTAAACAAGGTAAACTAAATTTTTAAAATAATTAAGTTACTAGGTTCAAATTCAATACCGCATACCTTTCGCTTAGATAGAGGTTGCTTATGTCGCTGACCAATTGTTCGGTATGATCGATTTTCTTCTCAGTTGGTGCTTAAAAAAAAAAAAAAAAAACAGCTGATTTTTATGGATGAGTTTGTATGGTTTATTTATTTAGGTAGCATCCTCCCACTATATTTTACATTTTTTAAAATAATTAAAATTAAAACATTTTAGTTAACATTAATATAAGATAGGTATTCAGAAATTCTTTTATTAATCTAGTAAATAAAAACTCTGTAAACTTTTAAAATAGTAACCTTAAACTGTAACGTAAATAATAAACAAAAGTCGTAGTCCTTTTAAAAATCTGTATTTTCTATTTCATTTAAATTTCTTTAAGATTTAATAACATATTTATCATCAAATAGTTTACATCCTCCCAGTTCTATCTCTAAGGGAATATGCTTAATGATAAACATGCCTCACTGAAATATCTAGTACATGGGTGTTACTTTACTTATTAAAAAATATAGCCTATTTTAGACTATGAATTTTTCTTACAGTGCTGGTTTTTTTTTAATTAGATTTTTCGTGTAGTACCTTTTTCTGAATAATACTTTTTTTTTTGTGTTTGCTTCTACTTAAGAGGTTCAATGATGTATCAGTTATTTAGTTTTTATCCGAGAAGCCAGTACATTGGGTTAAAGGCATAATGGGATCAAAGCATAATGAAGACTGGGAGATCAAGGTTTTAGGAATTATAACAACTGAAGTAATAAAATCATTATTTAAATAAACCATTTGATGCTAATTTGTAATCTGTTTACTCTGTGCTTCGTTTGGACTTTACTGGTTTGAAAAAAGTAACTACTGATTTGAATGAAAGCGTTTATTTGGAAGTGATTTTGTCACTTTTAGTTGTAATAATTCCTGTAAACACGTGACATGTGTGGATTGGATGCCCTCATTCCTCTATCCCACTGTACTATGTTTTTTACATTCATATAAATGTGACTCATTTCTTAAATCAATATACATTCACCGACTAAGTTGTTTTCTTACAACAAAACGGAATAAAGCTAATTTTTAAACTTTTTATTAATTTTATGTTTGTAGACTATTTTATTTTAGTAACGTGTAGACAAAATTCATGTAATCAATGTTTAATAATGTATTTGTGCATAAAGATAGATAATTCTAGAAAACAATTTGTTTGTTATTATTCAATCACTCAACCATCTCCCACTAATAAAATATTATTGACATTTTCATGTCTTTGCTCTGGCATATAACCGAAAAAAGCGTTATCAAAAATGCGTAACGAAGGGGGTGGGAGATAGGGGTGGAAAAAAGGGGTGGCAGATAGGGGTGGAATATAGAGGTTGGGAGATAGGAGTAGGAGATATGGGGATGGGAGATGGGGGTAGGAGATAGAGGTGGAAGATAGGGGTGGAAGATAGGGTGGAAGATAGGGGTGGAAGATAGGGGTAGGAGATAAGGGTAAGAGATAACAGATATGTTGTACGTTCAACGTTCAAATTAGAACTAAATGATGAATTCAAAATAAAGTAAGGGACCAAATTCTCTATGAATATTAAACACTACAATATTAGCCAAAAACTTGATGTTTTAACATACTAGCTTGTTACTGCTTCTTAATATACTATATCATTATCTATGATTCCACTACTACTCTAAATCTATTCGGTATTTCAACGAGACATGAAAATGCTCTTTCGTGGTTGCAGACTCGGATGAAAAACTTTTATCTTTACCTATCACAAATGGTATATAAATGTATTGAATGTGTGTATGTGTGTTTGCAATTAGCAGTAAATTACTGTCAAGGTTATTGCGCTTGGACCAATGACAACGTCGGGATATGGTTAGGCTGATACGAGAAGTTCGGGGCATTGATGATATGTCCACGCGAAATATATGTATGAACTAAATTTGGGAGGGGTAGGAACATCAAAATTTGTGGAAAATTAAGATCACATTATATCAAAACATTTTGGAAAAAAAAAATTCAATTAATAATTAAATCCAGTAAGATATTGAGTGGTTCACGATAAGTGGATCCACCTGTATATGTTATATTATTTATTATAATATATGTATATATTATAGCAAATAAAATAATAATTGATACCAATATGATAGTAATATTAACAAAAGCTAGCTGGCTGTTACACGTGGGCCAATGACAGTGCAGGGATTTGGTTGGCTGAGCGGCAAGTGCGGGACAATGAAATGAGTATTCCACCTATTGTTTTTAGACATTTTCAACATAAATTTGTTATTGGACTGGTTACAAACAAAAATGTGAGTAGACAATTTTGCGTGGATAAAAGAGCGGTCCAGTATACTTGTTTATCAAAGTGTATGTATTACTACTTTTGATTCAACAACAAAAAAACCTTAGTCGCGATAAGTTTCATAATTATGTACATAACTTATGAAATTATTTTGATGTTTATATAATATTATATGTACCTGCAGTTGACCATAAAATAATACAGGCTATGAAATAAATCAGCATAGTGTTATAATACATGTTAATATAATATAAAACGTTGAACACTTTACAAAAAAATATAAAGAAATTTTGTTTAATAGGTATTGTAAACCAACTTGAATACGTAGTACTATTACAATAACGTACAGTTTTCTTCTACGCTTAACGGGATATATTATAAACGAGTCATTTTGTTTACATATAGTGTAGAGATATTTGTAAAAGCGCACATATTGGGTATTGTTAAACGTTAAACACATATCTGAAGCTGACGTCAGTGTTCTTGTTCATATGCACGATTGAAAACACCCAAGGGCCTCTTAAACACATAAAGGTATAGTAAATAAGTAAAAAAATTGTATTCCCGTGAATTGTTCAAATAACGAAAAAAAGGCCTCTCAGTCTATGTACAATTTATGTGGTAAAACGAAAGCAGAAAACAATTTTGCACGTATATTGTTCAAATAACGATATGTTTTCATTTAAACAAAAAAAATGTGAAGGTAACCTATGTACGAGTTTATAAAAAAATGGGTTTCTATAGAAAATACACAGGTGTAGAGGCCTTTTAATAATTTCAAGGTGGATTTTGTTCGGTTACTTTAAACACGGCCCATGTATCAGTTCACAAAAAAGTAGAAAATGATTTATATAATTGGTTTGATTTTTGCAAAATGAGAGCCGTTTAAATTGCGAAAAAATAGAATCAAATAAATAAAACTGTACTGATTGGAAATGTTTTAGAGATCGAAGTCTGCCTGGAATTAGCGTCATCAATATATTTTATGTCAAACATTCACTTCCATACCTAATTCATTTCTTTATTTTTTTTTGTTGTATTTTATGCCATAATACAATTTAGTACATAGAAAATAATAAAGTTTTAATCTAATATATAAAATCGTAAGGGCTTATCGCGGTACACTATATTTGAACTTGGAAAAGAAAATAATCTAAACCAGATGTCACGAGTCCGTCTGATAGCAACGCGCGCGCATTTGTCAATTATAGCCTATCGGCTATCGGTCATTCGTGTTTGACAGTTGACACGCTATATTATTTGAAATGTTTATTTTCTATTAATTTGTTAAATAATATTAACGTATATATAATATATTCGCCTTTTTCCGTTTTATCGTGTACGGTGTTTGAGATCTATCATGTTTAAGTGTGAAGAAGTGACGGTGCCGTCGTCCGTATATACTGATAAGAGATTCCGTTGTTATATATATGTCAATTTTGTTTACCTGTAAAGTTGCATACAAATCTCTTATCTAATAAAACATGAGTGTTTAAATGACCCTAGCATTTAAGAGATTCGTTTCAAATTAATAATGACAGTACTTCTTTTTGATTTCGTAAAAGTCTTATCAATGTTGGTGTATTTTATACACTTCATTTTATAGTAAGTAAGATTTTTGCTCCAGTTGTTGTATTATTGATAGCATAAAACATTTATGGCGGGCTGCGACTTGCATAAACGTTTAGTAAAGATTTAATGATCCCATTTGTTATATGAACATAATATATTCAGTGGCGTTTAAACACAATTTAGTTGCCTATGATTGGTCCATTAATACTTAATAAACTATTAAAATGATAAACTTTTTATGCAACTTGGCATCCTACTTTTAAAATTTAAATAATGTAAACAATAGCTCTATAATTATCAGTAAAAGGATTCTCAAGAACACTTGGTGTGTAGCAATTACCAATTGACACTTTCTTTTTATATTTAACACAATAATAAAGCAATTGTTACTATAATTATGATTCAACTTTAAACATCTCTGTAGCTATAATAGGTGAAAATTTAATATTTTGTTCGGATTCAGAGTTTTTTACAAAGTATTATTATTGTCTCTTTTTATAAACATTCAATTAATATAAGAAAAACGTTAAGTGACTTATGGTTATATATATATATATATATATATATATATATATATATATATATAAAGTTTTATACAATTTTACATTTATGTATGTATACTATATAATGTTTGATGTTTTAAAAACGAAATTTCATGATATTATTTTTTTATTACATAAATAACATAGTTAAAAAAAAAAAATTCAGTTTTGTTTTAATTTAAATGGAGTTCAAGTATTAAATTCAAATACTTTTTATTTGAATTAATTTTTTACAAAGTAATAGTTTACTTAGTAATAGTAGAATACCTACATATTTGGTAACAAAAAATAAATACCAATTTATTCATTATCATATGGATGTGGACAATAACTTTTTAAATAAATAGGTAATACTTACATTTATGTTTAAAAAATATGTACTTCTAACAAGTTATTTTTAAAATAGTTAAATAATATATCTGTAGCACTAAATTAAAATTGCCAATAACAGAACAATAGATTTTTATTAGTACTGCAGCTAATTTGTGTGTTACACTATTATACTGTATATTAAAATAAAACACATACATTTACATATCAACTTTATCATTATATAATATAGAGATGAAATATTTATTAGTATTCTTTTTGCCAGTTGTCTAAGATCATTATTACTTATTACCTATATAAATGTATATGATCACTATCAAGTACCCATCTGTTAGGGGTTTTTAAAATTATTTTTTGACTTAATTCGTTGTTTTAATATTTTAACTTTGGGAAATTCAGACATTATAGGTGATCTATGCGGAAATCAACAATTCACGCTAAAAAAAAGGTAATAATTGTCATTAAAGTTAAAACTGTAGTTTGTTTTATAATATTCTTTGAAATTAATTCACATATATATTTTACTTTTTTCAGTCATACATCTGATTTCACTTTTCAGATAAATTTTTTTTAGGAAGTATTATTTTTAATTATTTACCTATCTAAAAATAACATTAATACATGGATTAATTAAAAAATGTTTATTGTTGTTAATAATTACATTGCGATTTGTGATTCGTGACTGGTAATTTGCAATTGTAATGCAAAATTCATGGAAGAATACCGTTACAAACATATTTATCTTCCATTTGCCGCCGAGTGTTGCCAAGCTTTAAATAATAGTTTCAGCCAATAAGAAATCGCCAACAACAAAATAGTCATAAGAGCAAAAAAAACACGTCTCCAAATTACTATACAAACAAGAACAAGAAGTGTCTTCTATTCAACAAACACCGGTCGTCTAGATTATTTATCGGTCCGATCAAATTTTGTACGTTTATTTTGGTTATAATTCAATCAAGTGTATGCCACACGTTTACTTAAATTAATATTTTTGAAATTGTTACATCTTCATAATGAAGCTCATACGCGGACTAGTAGTATTTTCAGGATTTTTATTAAATTCTCTATTAGCTGATTCCGTTGTTGATCTTTCCGACTCAGATTTTGAATCTTCTGTAGCACAATATGACACATCTTTGGTCATGTTTTATGCCCCATGGTAAGAAACCTTACATGTCTCATTTATGCTTGTTCGACATTTTTTATACCTATGTTATTTTTTCTCTTAGGTGTGGTCATTGTAAGAAACTCAAACCCGAGTTCGAAATAGCAGCTAAAAGTTTACTGAAAGAAGATCCTCCAGTTACATTAGCTAAGGTAAAACAAGTTCTTTTGGTTCTAAAACCTAACTTTTTTTTGAAAGTATTAATTTGATGAAAAAACATTTGTTTACTTGCTATAGATTATCGTCTAATTTCTGTGTGCAAGTGATTTTTTATTTTATGTCTCCTCTTCACATATTATATCACTACAGGTACTATTACTCTTAAAAAACTTATAATGAAATTATATTTGGTTCTATTTTTGACCCAAAAACACGCATTATGGGAAAATTTCACATAGAGCACTCGTAGAGTGATATGATTTGAATTCTTTTTATTCTAAAGAGGATGAAGAATATTGTTACTGGACGCATTGGCCTCTGATTATTAAACATTTTTCCCCTATAATATTTTTTATCACTACATAGTTATTACACATCTCAATTTTTGTCATTTTTTAATAATTTTTATAATTTGGGTTAAAAGTCTTCTTTTTTTAAACAACACCTGATCACTATAAGGTGCATGGCTTTTTCTTGTCAAGTAAGTTTTGCTCACCAAAATAGCTGAAACTTAAATAATCATCTGTTAAAAAGTAAATCTTAACTAAAAAATAAATTGTTCCAGTAGATAAAAAAAAAGTGTGTCGACATGATTAAAATTTAAATATTATACTTCATAATTTTCTAGAGAAAATTTTTTTTAAATAACCCCTCTATTTAAATAACATTCTTAATCATTATTATAAGCCAGAAAGAACGGAAGATTTACATTGCTTAACTACTTCACATTTTTTATATCATTTTTTTCCTAGGCAGTTGTTGTAATATAAATTATTTAATTTTTATTAAAAATAATAGATAGGCCATAATTATGTATCAATCCAATCAGGACCATTTAGTGAGAGAATTTCACAAATTGATTAACAGTTTATATATTTTTGTTGTTATGAAAAATGAGAAAACCTTGATAAACTAAACTATACTTGTTGTATCGTTATCACTTATCAGGTTCAGCTCATTCAAAGTGTCTTTGTGTCGATTATAGCTTTTCTGCATAAAGTTAATTTTTGTAAAAGTGTCGCTTACACCAATTAGCCTTCAAACAGTTAAACTACTAAAATTCAAACCAATGTATAAACATGTCTTCCTACCAAGTATAGATTGGTTATATTGGCACCAGTTCTCACAAATCAATTTATTCAAAATTTAAAATGATCTGGTTTTTATCTTAATTCATATTATATCAAATTTTCATGATTCAACCTCTCAATTGTGTCCAAATGACATGAAAAAAATACTGGCAAATCGTAACAGTGAACGTACAAATTCATGAATAACATGTTCAATGACATGACTTACAATAATCATTGTTACAGTGTAGTTGTTTACCAGCATTTATTTAAAATCATTTAGAGACTATTGGGAGGTGGAGACCACAAACATTTGAAATAGACCAAAATAAGGGGCACTTTATTAGATAAACATATATCAAATAGTCTATATATGACAAAACACTACTAAATTGGTTAGAACAACTGAAATTTTAGGTGATGTAAAATAAATTACACTTAAT